ATTTTTTAAAACACAGCAAATAATATGCAACATTTATTATTAACTTTTGCAGCCTACCTGCCTTAAAGTTTATTTAATAATAGTATCTAGTCTTCTTTAAAACATATATAGTAAAAAATGGTAAGCAAATGCATACATGCTCATTTATCTCCCATGGTCTTAAAACTCCTACAAACTTGTTATGTATTTTTTTATAAACACATCCTGCACACAAACACATCCTTGTTATGTATTTTTTTATATCTTTTGATTTTGCTTTTGACATACAAATTTTTGCTGTAACAGTGGCAACATTATATTGAAGTAATACAAACTTTGATATGAGGTCATTTTCATTATTTATGGATTTATACAACATTTTATCTTTTTAGATGTTCTGCAAGTTGCAATTGAGCATCATTCTTCTTCTTTAAGGGGATTATTACTTCGCAGTAGACAGCCACCTGGTGGGAAAGTTAGCAGCTTGTCTGAACCATTGTTATTAGAATTAGCTGCTGGTATTGCTCAAGGAATGGCACATTTGGCAGATAGAGGAGTGAGTAAATATAAATAATATTATTTGCAGTATTTTTTCATTTTAATAAAGGGTATTATTTTATTTACTTTTCTAAAAAAATATGGAATTTCCTTTCTAATAAATATTTGCTAATCTAAATGAACAAAGCCATCAATTGTTTGCAGTAGAAAAAGGAATGTTTAAGCTACTTGCTCCCCCTTCCAAAATCATGTTCGTAGTTTACTTACTTAGCTGGAAAAGGTAAATAAATCCATAAAATTAAATAAACTTTGAGGCAGGTAGGCTGCAAATGTTAATAATAAATGTTGCATATTATTTGCTGTGTTTTAAAAAATTATTTGAATTTTCTAATTTGGAATCTTTTTTAAATATATTTTAAAACTTGCCATTTAATTTTTATGAAGCAATTTTTGAATTTTTAGACAAGGGTGATGTGTTAATTTTTTGGGGTTAATGGCCAGGTTTTTTTTTAATCTCTCGTACAAAAACGTTATAATCGGCTGTTGATAACTTATGGATTGAGATCGTCTGTTCAATTCGATAGGGGGTTTATATTTTATTTTGTGACTAAAAGTGTAATAGTACAACATGCATTTTTTTGAAAGCATTTGTAACATAAACTCTTTGTTTATCCAGAGAAATGAAGTGCACAAAAATAGAAAACAAATATATTATTATATATAAAAATAATTTAATATAACTGATGAGTAATGATGTATTTGATTCATTTAAATGAAGGTTAACTAACTTGTGTAGAATGAAATCAGCAATAATAGTCATGGACCTGTAAACAAGCCATGACATTATAAAACTAATAAACAGATGATTTTATTGAAGGAAGAATTGCTAAGTGAGTCAATCTATGATTACCTTTTTTTTTAAGCTTCTTATTGGATGTAAAGCAGCTTCCTTCCAAATGCAGCTTTAGAGAATCAAAATTGTTGTAGTTACAAAGACTACACTTCTATTCTTTTCTTAGGGGCAAATAAGACAGTATCTTGACATCGTTTGAGGATGAATGTGATATTGCAATCTTCTGTTAGCTATCTAAATCATTGTTGTATGATTTTATTCCTCAACTTTGAGGATTTAGTAGTACCATCCTATCTTCATCTTTGTCCCATGTATCAGTGAGTCTGAAAGGGCTGGATCATGATGGTAAGAAAAATAAGAGCAGCATTGGTTTTTCTGATGAGAGATGAAAATAAGTGTAGCATCGGTTATTTTGTCTTAAGAGACTGTATGGTGGATGCATCTGCTGTAAACTTTTATAACATGTTGCTGGTTCAAATTGATGTTATATTTCATTATTTCATATTAAAAGATATTCTACAATTCTGTCAATATTTAATTTTTATGCTGGATTGTGAGGCACATCATGCTTGAAAAAGCTGTGGCAGATGGGATATGTATCTGTATATATATATTAAAGTTGTCATGAACTGCGGTTTTTTTAAAGAACATTTGGTTTTTATCCTAATTTAAAAAAATGGTTGACTGCCCTGTACATATTCCAAACCGAATCCGTAATTCACAGTAGGATTTGTATTGCTATGCAGTAGGTGTAATTCTTTTTCCAAATAATAACTTCTAGATAATAGTGTTATGTAAGAGAATTTGTGTAATATTATCTTACTTATTTTTCAAACTAACTCACTTATTTAATTTAGCATTCACTAATGTCCCCCCCCCAAAAAAAAATAATATAAAATAAATGAGAAATCAAACTCAAAGTCTGTTATACTGTGTTGGAGGAACTGCATGATTGATCTAAACCCAAATTAAATCAATCAACATATCTTTGAAATCAATTAACTCAATCAAAATTCAAATTCACTTTCACTGGTGTATGGGTAAAAGTAAGCTCTCTCTCTCTCTCTTCAAAGTACCATTTCTTTCAATTCACATAAGCTAAATACTCAGTCAATTTCATATCTTTCTCAAGAGATAATAACAAGTTAATTTTCATAAATTCAACCTCACAAACACCACAGAAGAAATATTTATACATGTCAATCAGCCAGTTCCTGAAAATAAAAAAATTAGTTTAAATAATTTCTTGATACCTTCAAATAAACAAATAATTCTTTAGTAATCATCCATTTAATAATAATAAATATAAAAAGTGGTTAGTACAAGCATTGTGTTTTTAATTCATAAAAATAATTAACAATACCCTAGGTAAATCAATCTTCACGTTTCTACGAAGTCTTGCAATTCAAGCAAATGGTGTGACTGGACAGACCACCAACTAAATAAGAAAATAACACATACAAAATTTAATCACTAAACATTTATTACTTTCTAGAATACAGTCAAAAGTCGTTAATCCGGACTCGTCGGGACTTCGGCGATTCCGGATTATCGATTTTTCCGGATTATAGATCATCAGTTTAAATCTCGTAAGATGGCATGCAGAAATTCTAAAATTAAAAATATGAAACCGTAATTTATGAAATAAAGAACAATTATGATCTAAAGGGTATCAAAATTTGCAAAAAGAAAAAGCTTAATATTTATTTGTTTACTTTATTAAACATTTCTTTCAATGTAAGTTGTTTAAGTTTGCTTCGTTTCATGTGATAATACTTTCTCTTTAATTCTATTAAACAGACATAATTTCTTGTTCAGTTACAAAGTTCCGCTGTTCAAGTCCTATAATTGCTGTGTCAAGAACACCGACTAATTTGTCAATCGAAATTTTTTCGTTTTCAATAACCTCTGTCACTTTTCTTCGCTATCGGAAGCGAATTATAATGACGAGGAACTTATTTTAAATCATATCAAAGACAGAGCATATCGAGATGAAATACTACATTTGGTAGGGAATTATAAGCCAAATAAAATAAAAACATCTGCGCTGAAGATAAGAATAGTGCTGACAAATCAAGTTCCAATGCATTACGCGCCCGCCCGCCGTGGCGTTCCCCCCCGCCAAGCAGCGTGAAATTGAAACAGATTTCGGATTTCAAAACATACTTTCGCTTTAGATCCTTTACATATTAACAAATATATATCGGAAATTCTATTTGATATAATGGAAAGTTTAAGCTTACTTTTATAAAATTGCTCTTACAGTCTGCAAAAAATAATAAGCCGGATCCAATTCGAAAATTAAGGAACAACGCAATCATCAACATTAACTGAAATAGATAATTAGATAATTTTAGCTTATACGTCCATTATACATAAAACGCGCACGCGAAAACGTATTCTGCACTTGCGCAAACTCATCTGCGCAGTCGTAAAAGGTCTTACGCGCACGCGTAAATGCCTATGCGCATGTGTCAACGCGGCGCATGCGCAGAAAGTTTTTAGTTTTGAGGTCCGGATTATAGATCATTCCGAATTATGGGTGTCCGAATTATCGACTTTTGACTGTATCAGAAATTAAGATAGCTGGCCAGACTCTCCTTACATCCAATGGTTAAATGATATTCCAAATTATATTTTTTAAGCATCATTAATCAGAATTGAATAACCCACTTAAACATAATGTAACATTATTTTAATCACTGTAGATTATTTCCATTCTTACTTAGACACTTGATTTTCTTTCCTTAATTATATTACATAGAGATGATAACTACCTTTAAAATCTCACATATTCAGTTGTGTCTACAGCATCTCAATACTTAGCTTAAATCTTACCAAATCATTGTCAATTAAGATAAGAAATTATAATTAACAGAATTATTCTTTTTTATAGACTATTTTAAAGTCACTTAAACACAATCCATTTTCTCTTAATTCAAATTTAAAATTCCATTTATACCAATTAAGATGAAATAAAATTACTCCCCCCCCTTACAAATAGCAGCAATGATATATATAAAAAAATTATACAAAAGCAACTTGCATTTGGACTTCAATGTAGGATCACGTTATCGAGTTCATGAAATAGTCCTTCACAAATCCACATGAAATACAAGTTCACGAAAAATTATATCATGCTGAAAACATAAGAGAAGAAGCCCAGAATATCAATAATTTTGAAGTAGCCGAAGACAGATGAATGGATAAACTGTAATGAATCAGGAACTAAAGGACAGGAAAACTGGCAGATGTATTTAGGTATCATATTTCTCATTGTGAGCTGCATATTTGATTGAAAGACCGGAATCCTCAGATACTGGAAGTTGGGTGATAATCAAGCCTATTGATGTGTCTGCTCAACTTGAGGAATGGTACAAGTGCAAAGCACAAGTATTATTCTTATTCTACTCTAGATCACTTTAGACCAAAATTAAAACTGATTTTAAACTCCCACAAAAGTCTCAAAAGAAAACCCACTTTCTCTACCCACAAAAATTGTACTGACTGAAAGATAAAGCTTGAACAACCAGATGAATTTTCTCTTTTATGTTATTTTCAGTCCTCCCAATGAATAGAAACAGAAATGCTGCCGCAAAGACAAATTAACTGAACACCTGCAAAGTGAATTATTCAAAACACGCAAGAAACAGAAATTTGATCCCTTCTAACTTCGGAGAACAACACAGAAACAAGGTCACTGCTGCCATTTTAATTGCCACCTGAAAGAATTAATTTGATATCCCTCCTTTCAAAAAGCCCATTAATCCGTCATTTGCAACATTCACAAAACAAAAGATGCCAATTAATTCTTCCTTTTCACTCCCAGTAAACAAAACTTTCGACAGCAGCAGATACTTTTAACAGCTCTTTCTCATTGCAAATGCTATTGATAACCCACCAAAAGAATCAGTTTGGAGAACATTGAGCAAGTAATTCAGTCTCCACTTCCAACCAGATGTTCTGAGAAAACTGTTTCTTGTTTCATGAGAAAAGAAGCATTAAAAAATAAATACAAACAGCTTTTAATGGCAAAAATAAGTACCCACTACACTAGTCACAAACAATATCAGTTAAATAAAAACCTTAATAATAATTAATTAAATTACATTAGCACAATTAAAATTTTCTACACAGCAATAGTAGTGCTTGCAAATGTGATCTTGTTGTAACTATTTTGACCTTCCACATACATACAAATGCTGTTTTTATTATGCTGCTGTTGCTGATCTAATATGTAAAAGCTGATATTTAGCGAGTACTTCAGATGCTCAAAATACCGAATTCATATATATTAACTTCTAGTTCAAAAAATTATGAACTTCTTTGAAATGTTTTGAAATATATTTCTGATTAGACATTATTGTAAATTATATGTTTATACTTAGTTGGCATTTTTTAGCATATAATCCAGAATGAACTCTTTGAGTTGACAGATCACTAAATAATTATCATTAGATTGAGGGCTAAGAAGAAGAAAGTGAGAAAAATAAATGATTGTGTATAGTGTGCATGATAATTATGCTAAGTTAGAGATATAATATTAAATAATAACAACAATAAAAATAATAGTAAATGGTTAAATGATGCTTAATTGATTCTAGTATTTACAGTCAACTATTTAATTAGTGATTACCATTTTTTTCCATCCTCTGTTTCTGTAATAAAGAATTTATTCATTTTTTTTTCTCAAATCTAAAGTGCTAAAGATAAGAAAAGATAGTACTTAAACTCCTCATGGATTTTACTACGTAACATATTTAGTCATGTAAATTATATGTAAAAAACTGAGTTATATTAAAATAAATTTATTGCTAATAAAAGACAATATTCATCATTATATGATATTATAATAGTCAATATTATAATTTTTTAGTTGCATTTTGAGATATAGGGGAAGACATAAATCAGGCAAGTTTTTTTTTAGTAGATTCATGCATTTTATAATATGCTATGTGAAATATTTTAATATTCAAAACACCCATTGGTTTGGAAATGTATGGCCTTAAATGGCATTTAAATATTTATGCATTAATAGTGGAAAATATTGTATTATAATTTTTTTAATTTCTAGATTTTCCATCGTCATCTATCTAGCAGAAATGTTTTAATTGCAGAAGGATCCATTCCAAAAATTGCCCATTTTGGACTAGGTTATTACAATCCTCTTGGAAAGGTAATTATTTTAAAACTTGATCTGTGTAAATCTGTTGAGTGATGGGAAGACAGTAATAAAAATTGCAAATGAATGTTTTATTTTAGAAACTGATGTACACAAGGTGGACAGCTCCTGAAGTCTTGAACATGAATACATTTGCAAGCAAAAGTGATGTGTAAGTTATTAATGACTCATTAATGCTTAGCTTGTGGTATTTTAGATTATTGTAGCCCTAAAACTATTTTAAAAGTATTGGGTAAATATGGAGATGAAAAAAAAAAAATTAAGGCATTTAATTTTTATTTCCATAGTAAAAAATTCTTTGACTCCAAGTGTTTGTTTGGAAAAAATAGTTATGATTATTTTCAGTTTATTTGAATTGAATCTTGCTTTTTTTTCCTCAGCATTTGCTTCATTATATTTTTATTTTTAAGAGTTTTGTTAATAAAATGTAAAAAACTGATATGAAAGTATATTGTAGCTTTATATTCTAATGCTTTTAGGTGGTCGTTTGGTGTACTTATGTGGGAAATTCTAACATTAGGTATGCATATTTTATTTTTATCATGCTAAATTAACTGTTCAGATTTCACTCATAAAATGAATTAAAAAACTATCTTGTATATTAGGTCAAGACAAAAACAACAATGTATATTCTTAATTTAACTGTCCTTGTTATTAATACCTAAAGAATCTGATGTACATGAAGATATTTTCCATTTAGTATGTGTAACCTTTGTTTAATAAGAATACTAAATTTTAGGTGGCTCCCCGTATAACAATATTTTTACTCGAGACATTTTACCTCGTGGAATGCAAGGCATGCGCCTTTCTCAACCAGTTGGTGTTGGTAATGAACTGTAAGTGGAATTTTATATTCATTTTCTAAAATCTTTTTGATATGTCTAAGATTTTTCTAGTGATAATGTGTACATTTAATTTTAATTACAGGAAATTATAATTAAATTATTGTTGTCTGAGTGTGTAAAAAGAAGAGAATGTTCAGTTTCATGCTACATTCAAATATATTGTTGTGCATTTTGTTTCAGATATACTGTTACAAAACTAACAAATGAAAGAAAAGAAACGGAAGTTGTTGTACATATTAAGTACTTAGATTTTTGTTGTTGTTGGGAGGAGAGGCATTTACCTAACATAACATAATAGTAGAGTAAACAAATAAAACTAATTAAAATTCTTATAAAAAGGATTTTATATAAAAGAAAGAATAAATATTTTCATGTTTAAAATATTGAGAATTTATAATGATAGAATTGGAATTTTCTTCATTTAAACTTAATTTCATGATCTATCACTGATATGTATTTGAATGTTGTCCATTGACTGTCATGGTAGATATATTTGAAAATGTTATGCAAAACTTAAGTAGCAGTCTCATGGCACTTACGGCATTGGGATATGAAATAACACTCCTGCCCTCAAATGTAGCTAGTCCTTTACAAATAATGCATGTAAGAACAGTTTTGGGACTTGAGTCACTGTTGCTGTATAAAGTTACCTATTTGATGAGTTTGACAATATCAAATAAAAGAAGCCGTACCTATCCTAGGACTTTAGCTGAAAACTGCTGATCTGAAGTATTCACATATTATAAAAGTCTTAGAGGTTTCAAAGATGACAGGATTTTTAACATAATATATGTATATATAGTTTAACCTCAATTTTCATATTTATTTCTGAGTACAAAGAGAGTAGAAATATTGCTTCATTATATTTTTATTTTTAAGAGATGAATTAAAGAGATTGAAAGAAGGCTTTCCACAGGTGTGTTTCCTTTAAGGCCTTCCGTAATTAGGTTGTGTTTGAGTGATATTGTCAAGGTCAAGTCCATGTGCTTTACTTGTTTAGAATTATGTGTGACTGTTATAATGACACCAAAAAGACTGGTAATATTTGTAAGCAAAAATAAAGAAATTAGTTTTTTGAAGTAGAAATGAATGAACAAAACCTTATCAAGTAATCATGACACAAATATTTTTCTTTTTGTTAAGGTTTTACAAGCAATGGAGTTACTTATTTCTTACTATCCAGAATAAACTAAAATACCATGTGCTTGTTTAGAAATGTTTCTGAGAATTTCATTTGGACTAAAATTGATTTCATCTTGTAATGTTTAAATGATAATTCTTACTGAGATATTCATGTTGAGTTCTGAATATACTAAATTTTGATTGGTGATTTATCCTTCTGAACATATTTCATTCTTATTAGAAATAATTGAAAAGATTATCCAATATTTCTCAAAAAGATAAATTAATAAAATAGTATCTTAGAAATGTTCGGCCAATAAGAATGAGCTGTTGAGTATTAAAGGTACACAATTATTACACAATAAGGTCATAAGAGTTACAAAATATGTAGAACATTTTATTAAACATTATTTTATTATTTTATTTTAAAAAGTGCTAGGTCATAAAAATTGCATGCCTTTCATTATCCAGTATGAAATACTGTTCAGGTAAGAACAATTTCTTCTGAAAATCTTTTAATTTTCCTTCTCACTCATCTTCCTAATGCATATACTTGTAAGTAAATAAATAATAATAATTAAAAAACACTAAATGAATAAGTATTTGGGATTTATTGATTGATGGTGCAGATTATGATGAAAATAGATGGTGAAGTATTCTGTTAATGTGTTAAAGAAAACTTCTGTGCATTAAATTGAATTTTAAAAAGTATGCATTGTTTGAATAGAGGTAATAGAGTTTATGCAGACTATAAAGAGAATGAATGGGACAGTATTCTGTCAATGTGTAAAAATAAATAAATAAATAAATAATGTGCATTAAATTGAAAGATGAATGGAGTTGATGCAGACTGCAATGAAAGTGGATAGCTCAGTATGCTGTTAAAATGTAAGCCACAAAAAAAAGATTTAAAAAAAAAAAGTCATATGGGTTAAACTAAAAAATGTCTATCAGCTGAACATAGGTAATAGAGGTGTTGTAGATTGCAATGAAAATAAATAACATTGTATTCTGTTAATGTGTTAAAGGGGGGGGGGAATTGATCTGCAGTAAACTGAATTTTAAAAAGTATGCATCAGTTAAATAGAGATATATTATGAGCATTACCATTTGTAAAGTTCCACACAAAGGAAAGTTTTTCAGAAAAATTCATTAAACTAAGAAAATGAAAAAATGAAAATAAATAAATAAAATAAAATAAACTTTATATACAAAGTGTAAATTATTCTAGTGTGCTTTTGTGCTTCTGCCTATATGATGAAATGTATATTATGGTGACAAAGAATATAAAATTTTTGCTGAAGAAATATTTGTATGAATTCAGGGTGTTATAATTCTGTAACTCACATCTTTATTTGGGAAAAAGAAAAAAAATACTTTGTGGTTTCTTTTAGCTACTGTAATTTTTTTTTAATTTCTATTTTTTTAAATAATCATAAAAGTGATTTCAACTATTAAGATTCTGTGTGAGTTTTGTTGAATGAATTTATATCATTGGTTATTCAATAATTTTAAAAGTAACACTTTTAGGTCTTATAAACGCTTCTTCATTGTCATACCATTTTAACATTATACAGCAATCATAACTGTATATATTATACAGCAATCATAACAGTTTCATAATTAACTATATTTCTTGCAATTTTTTATATAAGTAAATCAAATCATTTTTCTTCATATCATATCATTGATACCAAAACACAAATCTGTGAACTAGCTGTTTTGAGAAAAATCCATTTCAAGGCTTTATTTTGCATTTGGTTTATAGCAAAATCAATATATGACTTTTACATAATAATTCTTTTATATGCTACTAAAAAATATACTTGTACTCACCAGTGGCTGAACAAATAAGACCTTCCAATCAGGGCTGTGGAGTCGGAGTCAGAGTCATGCAGTCGGAATCGGAATCAGAGTCGGGCAGATTTTGGGGTAAAAGGAGTCAGAGCTGGAGTCGCTAAAAACAGGTCGACTCCATCTCCAATTTTTGTTGGACAGTTTGAATTTGAAATTAAAATGAATTCAAAAAAATTAATGACAAGCTGAATTATTATTTTTATTTATGAACTGTATACATTAATAAATAGTTATTTTCAATTTTATTGACATATTCATAAATAAATATAAGAATGGATGTGATATTTGCCATTAGCAATTAAACTGATTCATTTAGTTACAAATCTCATTGGTAAATTTTGGTAAGCAGCAATAGCAGCAACAACTCCTAAAATTGATGCCATTCTTAGGAAGTAAGCAGGAAAAGGAGCAATTATTGATCAAGCAACATGATAAGGAAGCACATATTTGATGATAAAGAGTTTTTAGAATTAAGAACTTTTTTAAAAGAAGTAGATAATCCTGTGTATCTTTAACAGAAAGACTGTGGAATGATCTTGCAGAATTGGAAACTCTTCTCTCTACACCATATATAGCCACAAGAAAGCTGCAATCTGAAGAATTGACAGGAGGCAAGAATGGAAGAATGGGATGTTTGTTCTTTCTGAAATGGAGGGTTTATTGCAGAAGGAATCATTTCTTCAATAAAGAAAAGAGAAACTAGTTTGCTAGACAATGAGATCTTGCTGGGTTCATATGTAGATCTGAAACACCAAATTTTCTTGGATGACGAACAAATTAAAAAGGCAAAGAAAGTCATCTATGAACTTTCATTAAGAATGAATTATTCTCGAAACAATTGGAGAATTTGAATCAGGACAGTCAAATGGCAGACATTGCAATTCAGTCTGTGTCATCCTCTTCTAGTGATGAATTAGATTTTATAAAATATTTTTGGATAATAGTGAAAAGGCTAAGGCAAAGCAAATGAAAATAAAGAACCAAGAGCCTTTAGATATAAAAAGGAAAAAATACAAACAATATTTCTACATGGCCTTTGAAGAAATAGAGAGAAATATGATTGCGCTTGCAAAGACGCCTCTTTTAGAACTTATAAAAATCTATCCTTAAAAGTTAAAAGAAGTAGCCCTCCTCCAGTAACAGCTCTCCCTCCTACTCAAGTTAGTGTGGAAAGACTCTTCTCAGCTCTGAAGTTTATCAAATTAGATCTATAGGCCTCCGACAAAGCTATACTGTTCCTTAGAAATAATTAATGCCAGTTTTTCTATTTCATAATAAATGCTAATTAATGTAAATAATTTGCTATGCCATCAATTTTTTTTCCCCTGTTGCATCTATTACTTCTTTTATATTAAAAAAAAAAAAGCTGTAACCCATGCGTATATGTTTACATATATATATCGGAGTGGCGCAGTGAAAGCGTGCTGGGCCCATATATGAGGGATTCGGAGTCATTAAAATTCTAGGAGTCGGAGTCTGTTATTTTCCTTACCGAATCCACAGCCCTGGTTTCAATCTGTGGTCTTTCAGCTCAGGCTCAAATGCTTCAAAGAAGCTGGTTGTATGAGTTGTTTTGCAGTTGTCAGTAAAAGAAAGTATTTCTTATGAAATCCTCCACAAAGGCACATCTCTTCTTTTCTTGTATGCTTTGTTGTATTCAGTTAAACAAAAAAACATACATACATACAATATGCATCTTTTTCTTTTAGTATATTGCAAAACACTGAAAAACAATCTAGAAAATATATATTGGCAAAGACAGCAAAAAATAAATATTAATGATTTTGACAGGCTACTGACAATAAGAGAAACAAATCCGGTAGTGATGTATTTGTAGTAACTTCATTTATTGTAGATAATAAGTTGTACTGGAATCAGTGAGATATCTGCTTTAAAAAACATTTTAATAAGAGGGAAATCATCTTTCATGTGCACTAAATGTTGACAAAAGCAATGGCCAGCTGCTTTAAGTCACTTTTAAAGATTTTGTAGATTTCTTTGTTACATTAAGAGGGGATATATGAAATAACAAATTTTGTCCAATCCTTCACTATAATTACATTTAATTCTAATAATTGTAGCTGCATATAAAGCATTTTTCTAAATTATTTTATTCAGGTATCAACTTATGCTTAATTGTTGGGAGCTAGATCCCGAGGAAAGACCAAAATTTATGGAGTTGGCTGCAAATTTGCAAAATATGTTTTTAAATGCTAAGGTAAGTAAACTCATTATTGAAATGAACTTAATTGGTGTATCTGTGAGTGGTATTTTATTAAAAATTTTATAGTCCATTAGTGATATGAATTTCTCTTTTGAAATATTTTTTTAAATAATAAAGTCATTACTTTTTATCTATGTAAATATATATATATATATTATTGTCATTTTAAAAGAACATTTAGATTATTATTAACTTAAATATTAATTACATTTTCAAGTTTTAGAAACATAACATGATTAGTAATCTACTCTTCATTTATAAACGAAACTATGAACAATGTTGTGTACGTAATTGAGAAATAAAATTTTTCTGTAGTTTTGGAGGCTTCTTTAACATATATGTGGTAAAAACGAAATTAGGAGATATGTATTTAATGCTCTCTTTTCTTTAACCATTAATATTAGGTTAATACAGTTATAGTTTGCATGTTTCATAAAACATTGGTTTAACTGTTTTAAATTCTGTAGTCCTAAAAGAGGGACTTTATCTTCATCATTACTCAGTTTATAATAAAACACTCCTATAGATTTCAGTATTTGCTATTGCTGAAATTTTGATAGATTCTGTAGCATAAGAAATCAGGTTTTTTTTTTTTTTTTTTTGTTTTGTTTGTTTTTTGTTGCATATGTGTGTGTTTGTTTTATGGTTATGCCCTTTATGCTTTATTACGGCTTGAAAATTCTCTCAAATTGAGGTTTTTTGGGGGAAAGATTAGACAAAAACATGAAGCATATAATAAATGCAGTTACAATATACAAAATAAAGCTGTAAATTTTTTCACCTTGTGTTAACAGTTGACAATAGCCAAGTGTTTAAAACTTGTAGAGCACTGGTTAGTTTTATACTTAGTTCTATTCCTGTATTCTCTTAAGAAATGCCCCTTTATAAATATTTTCTGTCTAGAAGGGAGAAAGCTCAAGCATGGTTTGTCATTATTAATAATCCAAATCTGTTAATTAAACATTGTCAAAAATACAGTACTTAAACACAGTTGTTGCATAGCATTAAATAAATAAATTGAATGAGATACTTATTAAGTTAATTAATTATATTATAGGTACCAAAGGTCATGTCTTTTTTTCAATGGGGAGAACTTTTAGGAAAACAAGAAACTTATTATCTCATGTGAATTAATGTGCAATGTTCATATGTCTTTGCGTATAAATGTTTCTGAAAATTTCATTAAAATATTCTAAAATTTAGTGAGCATTAGATTAATATTTGTATTACTTGAAATGAAATTTATCTGCATATGACTTGCATGTTAACTCCAGTATTTGTGGAATCTGAAGTATCAGCATTTAACACTTTTCCAGTAAAATGCATATTGGTTAAATGCTATGTAATTAATATTTGTTATTTATTTATTTAAGTTGATTGGAAGTTAAATATGGGTAACATTTTAGAAGAGGGAATATTGGAGGATATGAATAGATGAACAGGATTACAAAAGGCTTCAGTTTTTTTTCCCTAGTTGATAGAATGTTAAAAATGTAATAATGGTCGACATTTAGAAGGAAAATAATTAATGAAAAAACAGTATCACACAGTTTAAAATAAGCATGAAAATCAAATATGTTGCATGTTATGTATACCACAAAAAATCATGCTTTTTTTTTTTTCTTTCTAATTTATTATAAGTTAAAAATGGTTGACATTTTAGAGGCAAAAAAGAAATACTGATTCAACGATATCAGGTGGATAACATTATAATCAAAACAATTTGAAAATCAAATCTGTTGCAGATTAATATCGGAAATAAATTTGTCAAGTTTAATGAACAATTTGGGCAACTTACCAAGATGGCCTCTTTAACAGGAAAGTACCTTTTTAAAGCAGCCAAATTTTTTAAAGGAAAAGAAGAAATGTTTATTTAATTGTGAAGTTTTTTTTTTTTTTTTTTTTTTTTTATTTATTTAAATATCTAGTAACATGCAGTAATTCTACATATTTATTTTAGCATATTGTACTGTGAATCTGTAATTTAAAAAATAACATATGTAGTTAGTCTGTAAGCTCATATTTAAAAATTAAGTTTTTAAATTAATGAATGAATTAAAATAAATATTTTGTCTTTTTCTCCCCTACAGGAACATGTCAATTTCCAAGATTGTATAAATTATCAGTACGAAAAATTTGATCCTAGTGCAGAAGATCAGTAGTAATGCCTTACATTCCATAACTCTGTCATCAGTATTCCAAGACATTTTATTTTGTATATTGCAGCTATACATTTATATATATACAGATTTATATTTTAAACATGTATTTTTTATGAGCAGCTGCAGGATGAAAAATAATTTGACTTTAATCATATTCTGTATAGAATTAAAATAAGGATTGCCACAAATTGTTTTTCATTCCAAAGACAAGTTTTGTGCCTCGTATTTCTATTTTTACATTTTTATTAAGAAGAGAATATTACTGAGTCATGTTTCTGCAATTATGTAAGTTACTTAATTGTGATAATTTTTTTATTTATGTTTGTGTATATTTTTACCTTTATACATACTTTAATCATTTATTTGTGTAAAAAGATCAGTTTCATTAGTTTTGAACTATTAAGTACAATACAGAGTGCATCTATAAAATTTTAGGACCAAGTTCTTTACAAAATCAAAATTATAGAAAGCAACATTATTGTTATCGTCTCTTAGCCTTGTAAATTCACACAATGCTTGGTTCCTTCATAGAACTTTTTTTTAGTCAGGAGATACTGTTCAAGTTTGTGTTTGAAGTTATTTGAATCTCTTCAGTACAGAATTGTCTGAGACACTTCAGAGAAGGGAAAGTAGTCTGCAGAGATCAAACCTGTTGAAGAAGGGGTTAGTTGATATTTTTCTTTACCAGAGAAAAATGGAACGCAAGACAGGAATAGAATGGGTGCCATATCGTTCATACAGTAGAAATGAGTTATTCAAATGAGCTTTCTCAGACTTAATAGGCTCAACATGAAACTAAAGTTTTGTATCCATGGTGAATCTTCTCCAAACTAAGCAAATGTTTTCCATTTTGTCTCAGGATTTCATCTCCAGTTGATGCATTGAATTTCATCTCCAGTTGCAATTTACTTTACTTCAAAACTTTGCTATTCCATGCCTAGCTTTTGAATCCTTGACAGCAGATATTCACAGGATCAATTCAGGATCTGCATAGGAAATTTAGAGTCTAGCAGATGATATTTTAAGAAAAGAAAGGCTAAGATGGCATTGTAATAAATCTATGAGTTATCACTTGGCAAATTTGCTGAAATTTGTTGAAGAAAAAATTAGTTCTGAAACTTTATAGATGCACTGTGTATGACTGCTTGGAAATATAAAGCTGACATAGCATCATTAATAAAACTTTTCATAATAATATTGACTGGTGTAGGTATTATAGAAAATACTATGTTATATTTTCTTTTCCTTTTGTGAAATCAAAAGCATGTGCAATGCATGAATCATCTAATTAGTGATATATTCATTACATGCAGAATGTGGTCTCTTCATACAGCTACTTCTGGTATCTTTTTTCAGTTTTATTTGTTAGTTTGAGACAATATTTTGGGTAGTAGTCTTATGCATATATATTTGAGCAAAATGTTTTTAGTTTTGTGGTTGAGTTTTGGTTGTGTCTGGTTGTTGTTTTTATTTTTGTGTACCGGTGTTTTATTATGCATAATTTTGTCCAAGTTTAAATGTTTTTAAAAATTTTTATTGGTTTTTTCCTAGTGATCTGTTTATACATTTTTTAAAGTATGATAAAATGTTGTCTTATTTTCTATTGTTTTTGTGTTTTCAATATTATATGCTGCTAAACATAGAATCTCATTTACACATGAAACATTTTCATTTTGTTGGAAAAAGTCATGTAACCATTTTACATTAAGCTTTTTAAATTAGTAATAGAATGACAGAATTAATTTATATATATTTTTTCTTTTTTAACAGTCATTTATTTTATATTTAAAAAAAAATTAAAATTGGCTTTTGAACTATAAACATGGAATTGTTAGTTTTTTTGCAGTAATCATCTGAACAAATATGTTAATTACTTATAAATTTAATAGTAAAGTTGTTTTTCTTCTGTATTTTAATAGACATGCTACAGTTATTCTTTACTAATTGTGAAATAAATGTCCATCATATTAATGATTAAAATCACCTTAAAAATTTTTAATATGTACAAAGTTGGGAATTGGACACAGTAATTATTCTGGAAAAATATGTGTAATTTTTTTAGAATTTAAGATCACATTTTTTAAGTATAAGAATTTTTTTTAAGTTCAAATTTGATTTGACCATATAAAATGGATAATTAAAAACATTTCAAAGTAGTTTCTTTATTTAATTTTAATATTTTGAAACCTAAAGAAGGCAGGACATTGTTATTCATATTCTGCTGTTTAATGGTGGATATACTAAATCTTGTAAACATGAAATGTTTTGATTTGTTATTTTTCATGTGTCAGTCTTTATGACCAGATTGACAAAATTTTAGGTTCGGTGATTCAACAGCAACAAAAAAATAAATAAATAAAAATTAAAAATCTTTCAAAGTTTTTTTAGGATGTGATTATTTTACATAATATTTATACATTTATATACATTCTGTTGACACAAAAAAATAAAATCTTTTCTTTTATTATACATATTATAGAACAAGTTAAATTTGATACTAATGCAATCAATGCAATTGTTTTTGAGATAATATTTCTTCATCATGGTTCGAAGTTATCACCTCCAGTCATGAAGGCTAAACAGCAAATTGCCATCTGTCAATAATGATCTGTATTGGTACTTTATATACTCCCCTCGCAAATGCTGTTTCATGTTGATAAGTACTCCCAGGTACACATACAAAACCCTGTACATATGATTTTATTTGACTGCATATCTTCCAAAATATCGTTATGGAATTGCGTTACATAATTATTTTAAACATCAGTCAAGCATACAATCATTTTGCACACCTCTCGCTTCCATTTGAAGGTTAAACAGAAGCTTCTCAGTTGTACAGTCAAATAGATTTTGATATATAAAATGTGTTTTGTACTCGCTTTAGTATTAAAAAAATACTGTTGTATCTGTAGTTTAAACTCAGAAAATAAATCCTCCATGAATTTTGGGGGGAATGGGGACTTCTATAACATTTGAAACTTTCTACAGCGTGGAAAATGATTAAATTTGTTTAATGCAATTTGTGTTTCAAACAATGAGGACTGTTTCTTCTTCCTGTAATTTGAAGTTAAGTTCCCTAAGATATCTTATGATGTTTGTAGCAAATGCTAATTTTGATAGCCATTCATTGTTCAATAAAATGGTTGTGGGTAATTTTCCTCATCTAGAAAAATTTCAATAAAGCTTTTCTGTTGTTGATCCGCAAACTGAGGACTAATCCGGATATGAAATTTCAATCTTTAATGAACAAATACGAAAACTGATGATGTAGTGCATAAACGAGTACGTTCTTCAAGAGTGCATAAAATTAATCGCTGAAAGAGCTTAAGCGATTACACCTGACAGATTAAAATGCTTACCAAAACAAAAACAAAAAATTACCTGCTCCTTGTATAATGCAATGAATTGCTAAAAGTTTTGAACGTTTAGTTTCTTAAAAATTTTCCAACTAATCCTTTTTGCTTTCCGCACATATTTTTACCACCATGAGTAGTGACATTTTTAAATGATTCCTTTGAAAATTGTACTGTTAACATTTTCTCAACTTTCTTGAAGAGGTCTTTGCCTGCAGTAGTTATATGCAGACTGTTCATAGAAGGTATGCTTGGCTTTATGTAATATTCACTCTTTTGCCACATTTTTTTGTTAAATTGTTGTACATGTATTTTCTATTCTCATTGTATCACATCATGGTTCAAATTTTATTTAAGTGCTGTTATCCCCATAAATAAATTATGGAACCGACAACAAAAAAGACCAAGCGATTATGTTCATGTAAGAAAATTTGGGGGAAAGATTATTAATGATTATCAGCAACTACTAATCCACAAGAAGCAAAGTGTACTGTGTACTATCTGCCAAGTGTTTTTAAAATTCAATATGTAGGTGTTTTAGCATTAAGATCGCATAAACACTCAGATTTGCATAAAAAGTAAAAACAGTTTTTATCCAGTTCTTTAATAAGTTTATTGTAAAAGAAATTCTAAAGAAGATATAATAGCTTTGGAAATAGTTTTAATATGTCATATAGTTAAATACAATCATTCCTATAACTGACTTCATTGCAGTTTGAAATGAAATTATAAAGATTCCAAAATGGCTGCAAAAATATCTTGCCGTAGAATATGAAGCAAAGAATACAAATGTGCTTGGTATAAAGGCATTAAGAACTAAAAAAAAATATGGTTCACCTCTGTATTTTGTTTTCAAATTGATGCTTTAAAAGTAAATATTCTCAGTGAAATGTTTTATGTGGGGAATTTGGTATAGTAAATTGTATAATTTATTTCTTTTAGAAGCCAGATAGAATGTTTCAGTGTTTGAAAAATACTGTGAATAATTTGCAGTTAGAATATACAAGAATCTCTTGTTTTAAAATGCCAACAATACAAATTTGTAATGTTTGAATAAGGCATTCCTTAAATACTAAAATTACATTAAATCCTTACATTAAATGAAGGTGATTATAATGCTCTCTTTGTACATATAACAAAATGCTGTGGAAAACTTAAATGTGGGCATAGAAAATATTGCCTTAAATAACAATAATCATGTTTCTATATCAGCAAAGAAACTTGAAATATATTCATTTACCTGTAAAAGTAGAATTATGTTAAATTCTCAGCCATGTATGACTAAATGATTTTCTTTGAAGCCAGCAATGCAATTTTAAATTTGCAGGAACCGTTTAAGTTCTTCGTTCTTAAGCAGAGCAACTGATTATATTAAATAATTTTTCAAACTGTTTTGAAATGATAATGGTTTTACAAAAATTTCACTAATAATTGAAATACATAAGTATGTAGATTCCATATTACACTCTATGAAACTCCATGGCGCCATGTTACTACCTAAATTTTTTGTCTACATTTCGAATTTTAAGCCTATTTAGATAGCAAAAACGTAAAGTTTCTAACCAAAAGTATTTGACAAGAATCCATGTACATAGCGATACGTTTTAACATAAAAAAAAAAAGTCTATGAATTTCACATTCTAAGCAGCGAAGGAATCTACGAACTACACACACCTCACTTCAATAAATTAACATAACAACAATGAATTTCAAAGAATAACATGTACACAGCATTCTGACGAATTGCACAATCTAGGCATTGTGCACAAATCAACCAAATAAACTAAACTAAATTACAAACAATTCAGAAAACGACAATAACAACAGAAATTCATAGTAAAAAAAAAAAAAAAAAAAAAGAACATAACACTCTACAAAATAAAAACAGTAAAATAAAATGCTCTTACCATAATACATTCCTGAATAAAATCTTGTCAGTCACACAACGTCTCTGAACAAAAGTGCCACAATTTTGCTATATCGTGTATCTTTCTGCAGGGGCGTAGCTAGAGGGGGCATCTGTCCCTGAGTGCACAATCAAAGGGGCGCCAAACTGATGTTACGTCATTTTAGAATTAAATATTTTCCATCCTTGGCAAGCAGTAGGGGGCGTGAAATCTTCAGTTGTCCCTGGGCGCTGAAAACTCTAGCTACGACTCTGTCGTTATGAGATTCAAAATTTTGAAAGTAACGATGAAAACTTCCTCCAAAGTTAACATACTACATGAAAACCAGAATCCAAATCTTGGCTGACAGCCACATACTTTACCAGCAACCATTTGACTGCAAATCTACACAAGAACTATCAGAAATGCCCTTCTTCGTTTGAGTTCTCATAGCAGCTCTGCATTTTGGACTCCGTTTTAAAAGTCTCACAGAAATTCAAAAAATACACTTCAATCCTCATAAACACACCTGTGAATAAAAGACTTAACAACTCCAACATCGTACCTTTTAATACTAATTTTACTTTCCACACAATCTAAAATACACGACTGAAATCTTGCCACCAGGTCTATCATTGCAACATAGGTCATTTCAAAACATGCACGACATGAACCAACGAGCAATTAAACCACTCCAGCATAAGATTTTTCAATGTCAATAGGGTTGCCATACAATATGCAATCGCTCCAAAAACCAACGTAGAACACATATCGCCACATTTGGTGATATTAGAGCATATATAAGAGTAGAGCCATTTTTTGTTTTCATAACACAATATCAGCATTCAGTTTTGATGTTGAAGAAAGGAGAAGCAAGAAATTTTTGGTGTTTTCGATTTTTTGAATTTAAGAAATTTAACTTAATTTCAAACTCAGATAAAACATTAGTTAGAACTTAAGATGAAACTGACTTAAGATAAAGGCTTAAGTCTTTATATTATGAGAAGCTCTTTTTAGCTGTCAAATTCATCAACATGAGAAAAAATTGGATAGTATAGAATCTCAAAAGATTATGTTGGCTTTAAATTATTTCTTCCTTTAGCAACCACTTGTTTAAAATACAGTCAAACGTCGTTAATTCGGACACCCATAATCCGGAATGATCTATAATCCGGACCTGAAAGCTAAAAACTTTCTGCGCATGCGCCGCGTTGACACATGCGCTTAGGCGTTTACGCGTGCGCGTAAGACCTTTACGACTGCGCATATGCGTGTGCGCAAGTGCAGAATACGTTTTCGCGTGCGCGTTCAATGCATAAGGGACGGTATAAGCTAAAATTATCTAATTATCTATTTCAGTTAATGTTGATGATTGTGTTGTTCCTTAATCTTCGAATTGGATGCGGCTTATTATTTTTTGAGACTGTAAGAGCAATTTTATAAAAGTAAACTTGAACTTGCGATTATGTCAAATAGAATTTCTAATGCTGGAGCTCCCAAAGGATCTACAAAACGAAAGTATGTTTCGATGTCCATCAAACAAAAAGTGGAATTGCTGCAAAAAATGGATAAAGACATGAAGAAGGTGACAGAGAGGTTAGTGAAAACGAAAAAATTTCGATTGACAAATTAGTCGGTATTCTCGGCACAGCAATTACGGGACTTGAACAGCGGAACTTTGTAACTGAACAAGAAAGTATGTCTGTTTATAGAATTAAAGAGAAAGTATTATCACATAAAACGAAGCAACTTAAACAACTTACATTGAAAGAAATGTTTAATAAAGTAAACAAATAAATATTAAGTTTTTTTTTTTTTTTTTTTTTTTTTTTTTTGTAAATTTTGATACCCTTTAGATCATAATTGTTCTTTATTTCATAAATTACGGTTTCATATTTTTAATTTTAGAATTTCTGCATGCCATCTTACGAGATTTAAACTGATGATCTATAATCCGGAATCGCCGAAGTCCCGACGAGTCCGGATTAACGACTTTTGACTGTAATACTTTGTTGAAAATTCTGCATTTGGCAAATTGCCAATTCCAAGTTGTTAAATGATTCTTTTTGAGCACACCAGAAATTTTATAGAATAATATATTTTTTTTTTAATTTAAAAATACAAAACCACGAGTCTTTTTGTCATTGAGAAGGTTTTTGTAACTAGAAGTATGATTTTACTATTAAGTCTGCAAAAATGAAGGCCGGTTAAAGGTTTTGTATGCACAGTATATTCTTATTAAATAGTTTATTCTATGTGTTCTTTATTCTGTTCCGTAAGCTCTTCTCATGAAGGCTGTGCAAAATTAACTATAAACCAACAATGAAAGTATCAAAAAATTTTATTGAAATACATATATATATATATAAATATACTATGATGATTTCAAAGGCATTCATTCACATTCTGGAACTCGGCAACGGAAAACTTGTTTAGAACTCGTCTTCTGAAATATAAAAAAATATTCTGAAAATTTCAAAAATACATTCTCAATTTCACTTTGCTCTATAAAGTTATATTTCGATACAGCCCAGTTTCGTGTGAAATTAAAGATTAGATACACAACTAGATATTGTGACGTCTTTGCGTTGCTACGCTGCTAACATAATACCCAATAAGAAATATAAAGAAACCTCGCACATAAAAGATACGCATTTGAAGATGCACATGCTTTGAAATGCTTTACAGATTTTTTCTGTTAGTTTGAATAATAAAGTTTACTGTTCAATCAAAATGTCGAGATTTCTTTAAAAATTTCATTAGAGACATATCTTTATTATGGAACTGCACTTTTATAGTACTCTTAATTACGCTTTCTTTTGTCGTACAATCTGCTTCGCTAAGGTGTTCCTTGAGTATGTGCTATTTTTTTTTTTTTTTTTTTTTTTTTTTTTTTTTTTTTTTTTGTCAGATTTAAGTCTGTTGAATTTTTGGACCAATCTGGCACAATAATTTTATTTTCCAACATGAACCATTTTAAAATTGTGGCATGAAGCCAAGTCATGTTGAAATGTCCGTGCAAAGGTTTTGAGAATGACAAAATCATGGTTTAAAACTTCTAATACATTTCGATGAGTTCATCCTATCATCAATATGAACTAGATTTCCAGTGCCATCTGCAGTGAAAAAAAAACCCTCAAGCATGCGTTTTTAAGGGTACTTATGGTTTGTCTTGAAATTAATCTTATTGTTTATGATTATTTCTTATTGTTGAACCCTTGCTTCGTGTAAGAGCATTAGATGCGTAACCAGGAACGAATAAATGGAGTCTTGTCGTTGAAAATGACTTTTTGTGGTCCAAGATTTGTATTTTTTTGCTCTACTATAATCGCCTTGCTCCATGTGATGTCTCATAAGTTGTTTTTCAATAGGCTTTCTCGCCTTCCGACCAGCAGGAGTCTATGTTATGTCTGAAGGATGAATATCAATACCAATAGATAATAGATCTCTTTTAAGGTCTCTGCTATTTTTTATTGGATTAATAATGCCATTTCGGAGTAAGGATGGATCTGATTTTCGAAATGTTTTCTTTTTCCTTCCATATTCGTCCTTTTTGAAGAAAATGATCTAGTTCCGTTGAGTCTCCTCAGAATTCGAAAAACGCTCGATTTTGCAACACCAACTGCAGAAGCAATATTTGTCCCAGTTATGGATGCGTAATTGGTTAATGTGATAAACTTCGCTCTCTTTCTAGGCGTTTATATCCATTTTTAGCACATTAAAATGAAAGAATGCAAAATGTACTTTAAAAGTACAGTGGAACCTCGAGAAACGAATTTATTGCGTTCCAGTATTGAGCTCGTATAGCGAATTTCTCGTAGCTAGAAGCAAACTTCCCCATTGAAAATAATGGAAATCCAGTTAATCCTTTCCGCAACCCCAAAAATATCAACATAAAAATCAATTTTTCTAATAACTAGGATTGGTAAATAATATGACCGTAGTTTACCTTTATGATAGCTTCCGACACCGACCTTTTGACTGCTTCTCGTAAATCCACACCAACAACAACTTCTCAGCATCTTCTAGGAGTTTTGAACCAAGGAGGTTAGAATAGAAGGAGGGAGGGTTCGCAGTTTCCTCCACTATCGGGGAATGAAACTCCGCCGAACAAGCGGCGTCCATGTTTGTGACTTCAAAACATTGCATTACAGTGACATGTGCGTGTTTCTAAGCTGTTCCGTGCATTTATTTTCCAGTAAAAATATGTTAAATTTATAATGAAATCCCTCGCTATTGTTGAATTTTTGTTTTAAAGTAATAAAGATGATATCCATAATTTACTATGTACAGCAAATTATTAAGAAATAGTTCGAAATCTAAATGCATGCACATAACATTAAAGCCTTTAAAAAATGATGTTTCTACATATTTCACGAATTTGCTTAGGTTAGAAAATAAATCTTAATAAAAAAAAACAGATTTATGTGAATTCATTGATTTCAGTTTATGCGCATTTCATATTTATTAATCTTAAAGGAACTGCCTTTAATTAAGTTGAATTACAGAAATACACCTATATAAGTTTTTGGATACATCTTTCCACATGTTCAATTGTGTAAATATTTTACTTAATTTTATCACTATACTGCCCAGAAATTTGTAAGTTTATGCAAAAAATTTTTAACAACAGAACAGTTTATCTTAACTTAAAAAAAATGAATAATAATTAATATATAAAGAAAAGCATTGCTTTATTTAACACCTTTACAATTAATAAAAATAGTAACAATTGATTTCTTACTTTTCATGAAAGTTACACAAGTAACGGTGATAACAGGAAGATGGCCGCCAAGCTTCACCGTTTGAGTTGAACCTTCCCTCCTTCTATTCTAACCTCCTTGTTTTGAACGGTGCTTGGAAGTAAAGGTAACTGCTTTGGCTACATCAAGTTTCTTAATTTCTTAATTCTTCTTCAGAGCACTGCAAATCGTCGATGTTGAAAGGCTTCGCCAATTCCGTCACACTTACACCACGCGTTTTTTTATCTATGATTTCTTTCTTAATTTCAACGGCCATGGCTTCGTTATTTTTCTTTGCAGCACTATCTGAGGCAACAATATTTTTGGAAGGCATCGTGAAATAATTATTTTCACATTAAATGCAATAAAAAATTGACTGATTCACAAGCCAGCAAACACGTAGATCAAAGAACACCGAATGATCTGACGAGGGGATTCCCCCAGTCGAGCTGGATCGGGACATGGCACCAAGCATACCAACAGCCTGGCTCATTCCTCACTACTCGAGTCAATGCTGGTATTTAGAGACAAATGTTTTGCTCATACTTTCCTCGTATCTCGAGTTTCTCATATATAGAGGTGCTCGTATCTTGAGGTTCCACTGTATGCAAAACTAACTTCTTCTCACAAGAACAAACATAAAAATGGTGCAATATTCTTGTCGAAACCAGTTCTAAGTATCAGGTTGTCCGGAAAATAATGCAGGTTTTTTGCAATTCTTTATCTTTTCTGTACATTTTTAGCAACAAAAATATTTTGAATTACATTGGTTTATATATCATTTTGAAGCTAGGCCACAGCGCAGCACAAACGGCTGGAAATGTCGACGAAGTATGGGGTGAGAAAAATGTTAATGAATCTACAGTTCGATGGTGATACCAAAAGTTTCGTCGTGGAGAATTTGACCTGGAAGATCAAGAGCATCGTGAACGCTCTTCAGCTGTTGATGACGACGATTTGAAGACTTTAGTTGAAACAAAGCCGTGCACAACTGTTCGAGAGCTTGGCGTAAGCAAAACAACGATTTCTGATCACTTGACTCGTATAGGAAAGTCAAAAAAGCTCCATAAGTGGGTGCCTCACGAATTGAAATGACTAGTAAAAAAAGTTGCCGTTTTAAAGTGTCGTCTGCTCTTCTCCGCAACAAAACCGACCCTTTTCTTGAACGAATTGTTACGTGCGATGAAAAGTGGATTCTCTCTGACAAATGGCAACATTCCGCTCAGTGGTTTGACAGCGGTCAGACACCACAACACTTTCCAAAGCCAAATTTGCACCAAAAGAAAATTATTATGACTGTTTGGTGGTCTGAGGCCGGTCTCATCCACCACAGCTTCCTAACCTGCATTATTTTCCCGACAACGTAATAGTCAAAAGCAGACATCCAAATTCATTTAAAGGACATAAAACTGCTTTGAGGTGGCAGCTGGCAACCAATTTTGAGAACCAGGCAACCAGTTTTGAGCAACCAGTTTTGAGAAAAAACTATTTTGTCCCAATTAATTTGCACACTATATTACAATGTTCAATATGGAAACGATATAACAGCGAAGATGGATTAGGCTTTTTAAATAAGCGTATAACATAAAGATCTTAGCTTGAAGCATTTTTTTTCCCCAGAAGTTATCCGCAGTAGCTGAAGAAATAGTTAATTGAAATGAATGCTTATAGCAAATGAATTTAAATAATAAAAAAATTCTGATGTGACGAGTTCATGTCCTTTCGACAATTCCATGACATGGAACTGGCGAAGCGTGGAATAATTTATTTATATCATGTTAAGACAATTGAATTGGTGAAATACCAACGACCTTTGAGTAAAGTATCATTCCCGATTGATCATTGATAAATCAAATTTGATTTGTTAATAAACTTTATGACTCAATGTTAATTACTAACAATACTCATTTTTTATTATTCCATTCTTCCAGACAAGAAACAACGATATCTATACGTGCTCATGTACTCGTCCATTCTCACGCTTTAATTTGAAAATATTGCATCGATCGTACTATGTCCTCTGGTTATAGAATGTTTCGGATTCACAAATTAATGACTTAAAAATCACAAATTTTTTAAAAAATAGCTTTTTCTTTAGAATTCCATCTAGAGTGTTAGATTTTGCCATACATTTCGTTTTATATTGGTTACATTGTTCATATTTACTATATTACTATTTAAAAATAGGCCCACCAGCGGCCGAGTGGTCGCTGAACACTGGTAGTTCGGTCCGAGGTTCGAATCCCACGAACGGGCTGGCTGCATAGGTGCATGTAGTATATAGAAATATACTACATAATTTTCGTGGTTTTCCCCATGTATACGAGCCAGTTTCCCTTAGAAAGTCCTCCACGAAGGTATCCCTCCCCTTAGGCAGATAGCCCTCGAGACTTTGCCGTAATTAAATAACCTAACCTAACCTAACTATTTAAAAATAATACATAGCGACAACATTTGAAGCAACCTGTTATTCGAAAATGGTTCGATACAAAATGAAACGAACACATTAAGTATTGTGGTTAATACATTTAATTACTTAATAAAGACAGTTTGTCTTCATAATGAGTTTATTCTCATTGTATTTAGCATAATTCCAGAGAAACTAGCATAATTCCAAGTGTAACTAGTTGGTTAAAAGGAGACTTTTTCTCACATTTTTAGTAAACTTATCGACAGTTTTGATTCAAAACTTACACTAAACCAAGATTATTCTTTTGCCTAGTATTAAGCTTTATATTCGCGTGTTTCTGTTCTGCTTGACGTCATTAGATTTTAAATTTATAGTTTATATCCGAAGTTAACTAAAATCTGAAAGCTTTCAGATTTAATATTACACCCAAAGTTTTTTTTTTTTTTTTTTCCCCATTTACACGCACTCATACACGTTTGGAGAGCATTTAGGCTAACGCCCCTTCCGGCTTAAGATATTTAAAAACAACATATTTTTACAATTTCCGTGAGACAGTCTCACGCGCTGGAGGTAAAAGTGTTTTATTCTCTACAATGTTGCCACTGCTCATTTTGAAATCGTTAAGTTTTTTAATAAAAAGTTCTTTTTTTAAGTTTTAGAAAATAAGAAAGAGATAAGAAACCAAATTCGAAATTCAAATTTCGGACATTCTGGTGCCCATGTTCCGGTGGAGGACTACGTTATTCAAAATTTGATGGTTTAGGTACCGTTGTGTTTTCACAATGCGACAAATATACATACATTGTTGCAGATTCTTCATCATTTAATTCCTTTAAATATAGTACAGAGCGATACTATTTTTTTGGCCGCAATTTGAAAAGTGATATAACGCTTTTAATGCTTCAATGCAAAATCTCGTTTCGAGAATAATAGCAGTTTTGGGCTAACGCCTCTTTGGGCTAGTAAAATTAAATAATGAGAAACTTGTGTATATGTATAAATGTTTCTCGCATTATGGGAAAACGGCAGCAACTTTGAGCCGCCAAATTTTTAATACACGTAGTCCTCTACCCGAACACTGACACCTCGAAGTCGGAATTTGGATTTGCTTTTGATTTATTTCCTATTCTGCGCAATTTTAACAAGTTTTTGTTTAACATACTGTATTGTCTGGAAACGAGACGTGGCAACACTCTTCGAAATATTATCTCCAGCTGGCAGGACTGTTGCCATTCGACAAAATGAAACATATATATCTTCCAATTTTAATCCAGAAACTTGGCTGTTTGAAAAGTACACTGCTGCCCATTCAAATTGCAACACCATGAAGGGGAAAAAAAAAAAAAAAAAAAAAAAAAAAAAAAAAAAAAAAAAAAAAAAAAAAAAAAAAAAAAAAAAAAAAAAAAAAAGAAAGAAAGATATTTATTGCACCCAAACAGTATGGCATGAAGGCAAAATGATTAAATTTGTAAGCATTTTGGAGGTTTACAGAGGTGCGAAACCGGGAAACAACTGCTGCTAACCGGGTAAGGGCAGCTAAAACGGCCCTTACCCGGTTAGGCATGGAGTCGAACTGGGCTTGGATGACAGAAATGGGCAACTCATTCCATGCTGCTTTAAGTCTATGTTACATTTCATCAACCGTATTAGCTGGAGAGGGGTGGTGGGCCAGTCTCTCAGCAACCCATGACCAGATGGTTTCAATGAGTGACAGATCTGGAGACCGTGCAGGCCAATGTCAGAAATGTACCCTCTGCGTTCAAATTACCGTCAATCCGAACTAGAGATATGCGTGTCGTGTATCCAATGGCTGCCCAAACCATCACACCAAGTGCAGTGTCCCTATGCCAATATCGAATGCAAGCAGGCGACTTGCGGTCTTCTCGGACACTTAAGACAGGTATACGGCCATCAGAATACTGCACGTAGAACCAGGACGTGTTTGAAAGGGCGACATTTTTCCACACCTGTACCCAACTTTGTCGTTTGGCGCACCAGAGTCACTGTCTGTCTCTATGCTGCATTGTCAAGGAAAGCCGAAGTAGTGGTCACCTTGCTAGTCCACGCTGCTGCAAACGTCGACGGACTTAGGGGCTGATACTGAGCGTGCTGCAAACATGCGCAGTTCCTGACTAATAATCCATAGAGTAATTATAGGGTTTTGGAGGGCTGACCTCACAATATTTCTGTCCACTGTTGCACTAGTAATGGGAGGGCGTTGAGATCCTGCATGCCACTCAGTATGACCCTCAGAAAATCATTGATTCCATATTCACATGACAGTGGTTGGATGTCGACCAGTGCGACCAGCGGTATCACGACACGATAACCTACACTTTCGACAGGCAACGATTCCGCCGCTATTGAATTTCGAAACTTGCTGATGAGCATTTCTATTCGACGCATAACACGATATTCGTTGATTCATTTGCAAGGTTGGAGGAAACTCCAACCTTGCAGAGCATTTTCCGAATGAGAAATACACTACATAATTTTTCTTTTATGCAGTGCTTCAGATGGCGTTTCTCCCTCCTGCGTCGTCTAAATGCGCTGAAATACTATTCATTTGCATATCCCACCTTTTTCCTTTCATGTGATTTTGACGTGTTCTCCTGGTGTTGCAATTTTAATGGCCAGCGGTGTAATTTTCTGTCACTGCCTCACACCACGCACTAAATGTTTAATAAATTGATATATCTTACTCATTGATATATCTTAATAAAGCTTAAGATATATCACTTTCCAATTTAATCTTCTGTTATTAAGCAGCAAAACAATAAATTGAAACGCAATAAGTATGTTTCCTACTTTTTAATGATTGATTTAAAAAAATGGATATAAATCACGGATTATAATCGAAACGTGTATTTTATGAAATCACACTACCTGGACTCGTTGAAATAATTAAATATGTGTTCTTTCTTTTTTATGATAACTCTCTTATGCGGTTGGTCATTGGAGCGGCTAGTTTTCAAAGGAATAATATAAATAATAATAATAATAATAAAAGTGTATGGCAACCGCTAACGGCGTGTTAGTACTAATTTGTCCTACAGCAGATTAGTAAACTGAGTTCAGAGAAAGCATAAAATTCTTTAACAAACCCTCTGCTGCGAGCAAAAAATTTTGTTGGCATGAACGAATCCAACAGTGGACTGGTAACCTACGATGCTGAGTGAGAGTATAAAAGAACTTAACAAATCATTGGGTGCGATGCTGAAATCTGAAGCCTTTCAGATTTTAATTTTTTTTAATGCATTTATTTAAAGATCATTTTACTTACCAGCTTTTTGCAAGAATTCCGTTTGGCTTTGCTTTCGTTTTTCTGAGTGCATTTTCCGAATCTCCTTATGCACCTGAAATCATAACTGGAACATTTAGGACATACTTGTGGTGGCATCATGAATTTACATGCACGGCAGGAAGTATGCTGACATACGCCTTGGCACTGCAGCATTTTGTCCGAATTGTCTCTGTGGAGGAATAGATATTTCATGAAAATTAAGTATTCAACATATTAGAAATGTAATACATATTGGTGCTCGTTTTGGATTTCTGAGAAACTCTTTTACAACTACCACAAAGAAGCAAAAGAAATTGACACTTTATTAAAAAAAAAAAAAAAAAAAAATCGGAAATAGTTATAAATAGCTTAAGGATTTTTCTCCTTGTGAGGCCTTTCATTAACATGCGAGAAATATTTATAGATCACTAATTACTACGACTCTGCACTGAATTATCTAGCTAATTAATTGACTGGGGCTCGGCTCCAGCGCAGCCGTTATTTATAGGAATGCCCAACATTTCTGGAATGCTCTAGAAAAATTAAAGTTTCGAAAACGCATTTTCCGAAAACTTGAAAAAGGACCCCAAGTTGTCGAAAAATACCTAAATTCTATTCTTTTTTCAGAGTTTTCCAGAACAGTCGAAACCCTGTTGAAGCCGAATATTTTTGCTTTCGACATATTAGAAATTTCTTTTCGAGTGTCATTCTTACATCTTGGTGCGAATTTTTATCATTGATAAAAAGTACAGTGTAAACGCAAATGCAATAAGAGTCAAGAATATGGCGAAAGTGTGACAGCTTCTGGGAAAATTTCAGAGTCAACATCTCACAAATGCTCTCATATTTTGTATTTTATTATGTCATGATAAATGGAAAGAAATGTCAGCGAAACTTGTCTACAACCACTGGTTGCTTTTTCGCACATTCCTTGCAATTATACTTGGAAATTTAATTTACATTTCGATTAATATTTGTCTTCTTGCAATAATAGTATTTGAATGCACTTTATGAATTTTGAATGTTGGTAATATAAAGACAATGACTGAACACTTAAATAATTGCAATGATTGTAGGCTTGTATACTTGATGATGCTACCCGCCGCTTATTAAACTCGTTAATTAATAAAGTCTGTAGAGTCATTAGGATTTTTGAAGTAGGAAACACGAAAAATAAGCAATGCACTCGCTGGAACTCCAACCTGGACCCCTCGAATACGCGCCGAGCATTACATCACGAAGGCATGCAGAAAGGAGAGATCCCCCTTAAAGGACTGGGGATTAGGGGACCTAGTCGTCAAATCCTGGTGGTGAAGAATCATCATCCACCACTTTTTTTTTAGTTCGGGCACCACTGTAGTCATTAAGATTTTTGAAGTAGGAAACGCGAAAAATGAGCAATGCCTTCGCCGGGACTCGAATCTGGACCTCTCGAATACGCGCCGAGTGTGCTACCGTTATCACAAAGGTATGCAAAAAGGAGGCAGAAAATACCTTATAAATGAGTCGCTTAAATTTTTATAAATTTTTTTAATAATTTCAAAATTGCATAAATCGTTTTATTAACATTAATTTTGAATTATTTTAGGCGTTGATTGTTAGATTAATTATCGTGCTATGTTTCAAACTGACATCCCAGTCTGCAACCACCGTCTATTAAACTGAGTCGTTTAATAAACTCTTATGTGCTTAAATAAATAAAAAAAAAATTCCAAAAGGTACCGAGCTCCTTGTCGCTTTGAAGCTGATATACACGTCTGAGCTCCTTAACTTTAGTTTTAATTTGAATGGTATTTCTGGAATACCCATCATCAGATAACCTTGTCTGCACTTGTTAATAAGTTCCCGTAACTTGTACAGTTCCATCTAATTTTTGGGGGGATGCTATCACATCGCTAGACATCTATCAACGCAATTGTTTCGCTGACAGTCCAGCGAGCAGTCAGTTGCATGTCAGCGATATCGTTTATTAAAATTAAGTGAACCGCGCAATCGCACAGTGCGGCATGGGAAATCTTCCCATTTTCCCTGTTCCAAGAAAAGTAGGAACATTCTGTTGTTGCTGCTGATGCTTATGCTCACTTGTCTGACGTAGTCAGCTCAAACTCACGAAATTCCTCGTGGCAAGGAGCGCTAGAATACGCCTGCCGTTGGCAACAGCCTTGAGCACCATTCAGGTGACAATGCGATTTAGTTCAGTTCCGCCCCCAATTTTGATGGAGAGCACCCCGGGGGGGAACAGTTCCGAGGGTCTCCCACCCCTCTCCCCTTCCACCAAACCACAAGAGAAGACTTTCGGCTCGCCGCATATTTAGAAGGCCACCATGCCGAACCGACACTATACATTTACAAACATCCATGCCTCCTCCGGGATTCAAACCCGGGCCATTCGCCACGGCTGTCCACGAAGCTAACCACTATACCGGCATTCTACCAAATTCTACCTTCGATTCCGAGAGGAGTTAATGCTTGTTCGCCATGTGAACAGGACATGTTGGAAGAACCGGTTTTCGCCACCGGTCGAATCTGCTCTTGTAAACGGGCTTGCGGTGATTTTAGCTTTAAGTATAATGCTGCTGTCAGTTAAAACTTTGCTGGGGTATATTTGGTATTAACAACTGTTTGTTCTTTGGTCTACTCAGCTAATTGTTTGCAGATAGATAGCACCAATAATTCTTGGTGACCTAGCTGTTCTAGTTCGGGTCAATCTCGAATTTGCAACATTTTTTAGATTGTAGAAGGATGCTCCGTGCGATTGCATTGAAACAGTTGTCTTTCCGCGAGCAATTTGGAACGATGTTTTTTCGGCGCGGGAAGCAAAATCATTATAACTGCAGCGGTAGAAAAAACGCTTCAGGAGATAGTACTAACAATTAGGGAATTGCTGTATTTCTGCTATATTAGAAACTGTTGCCATTTTGCTTACATTTTGGAACTTACAACTTACGAAATGTACTGCATTCCTCCCACCCCCCCGTCGCTTTGAAACTTGCTCGCTGAATCAGCAGAGATGGAGGCACGATCTATTATTAAATCAGGCATTTTCGTCTAGTTTGTGCATAAAGGAATGCATTTTCTAGTTAAAATCCATCTAAATATATTTCAATAATAGCATACTTACACAGCTGAGCATATCGCGGTGGGATTTTGTGAGCAGTACACGGGATCACATTTCGATTTGCAAGAAGAAACTGAAATAAAAAATTACAATTCCATAGAAGAAAATTCATTTCAAACACTTTTACAACATTAATTATTTACAATTAAACATTTCCATGCAATTCTATCCATTTCCAAAAAAGGAAAGTTGTTTCTTAAGGCTTTATTCGGAAATTAATCCATTGACATCAGGCCACTCGCCAAAAAAAACAAAACATTAAATTCAAAATTGACATGATCAAAATATTAAAAACACTTAAAAAATTACAACTCTAAAATTCAAGTTATAAAAATTTCACAATTAAAATCTTAAAAATCTTCAGTGATTAGAACAGAAGCAATGGTGTTCTCAGGACATAAGATCCCTGGCCATCCAATACAGCAGGAGAACATCACCACTATGTTGTAACTTAGGATCAAGGTCCGGACAGACAAGCAAGTGCTGCTTATGCATAGTGTCCGTTTTACAAATAGGGCTTTGGATATTATTCAGTGTGGCTCTTCTAATGGGATGTTCGGCTAAGCAGTGTATGAGTTACATTTATACTCAGTCTGAAATTATCCACAGCCTCTCCAAGCGGCCTGCGACACAACTCATTCCAGTCATTTCTGATATTCTCCCAGAGTTTACGCTTCTATTTAATTGATAGCTGTTTGGCAAGAAAGTTATGTTTAATAAATAAAGTTAAAAAGATAAAAATAGTTGTGTAACTCATCTTGTTCAGAAAACTGAACATTGGTACGATATACTGAGAAAAGATAGAAAAAAATATTAAAATGTATGGCAACATTTAATACTCTTTCCCAGTGGTTTACAAACTTTTTAGGATTGCGTCCATGTTTTAGGTACTCAGGCCGTATTGCGACCCCAAATTCTCAAGAATATGTATTTTATAATATGTTTGGGGTCCTGTAATGCAGTTTTCAGAAAGCTTGCGACCCCCAAAAATGCTTGTGACCCGAAATCGGTTTGCTACCCTTAGTTTGAAGACCCCTGCTCTATCGGAAATTCTAAAAATATGCTGCTTTTAATAATTTTATGATTTTACCGTTGAATTTCATGTAGTGTGAGTGCGAATAAAATGATATTTAACAATAAAGTTAAAAAGACAAAAAAATTGCTTTTGCAGGAAGGAGTCCAAGAGGAGATTGGTAAACTGCGACCTCAGCGAGAGAATCAGAAACGTTGACAAGTCCCTTGTGACACGTGAAATAATATATTGCTCTGGCGACACGTTTGAATTCTTTCAGATTTTATTTCTCCTCTTTCCTTCCCCCCCTCTTTTTTTTTTTTTTTTCTTTTGGACACAGCTGAGTTTATCAGTTGACTGTATTTAAATAAACTTAAACAGTAAAAAAGTGTATTATTTGTTAAATCGAAAAAGCACGGAAAATGTTGTAAGGTTTATTCTAAGTTTCTAACAGTTATATTTAGTTAAAGCCACTGTCCTGCCTCTCCTAATTTCAGATTACAATTTCCTACCAGAATGTGTTTTCAGAATCGCGGTTAATTGCAAGTGAAGGAATAGCAAGTATTTAAAGTTGAAGTTCTACTGACTTTGTTAGAGAGCCAGAGATTCCAACCAGCGCGCGTTCGTCTTTTGCCTCTACTCTCTCTGAAGCTATTTTTGCGCTCGACCGTACTTTAGGTCCTTGATAGCTTCGCCGTTTAGGGGCCAACTCTTGTAGAACCTCGAAAGCTTCGGCTATATCTTTTTAGTTTAGTTAAGTTTTATTTCTTAGAATTCCTGAGTTCAAGCCCAGGTGGAGGCTTTGCTGTAAACTCCGAGAAGGAGTCAACTGTTAAATTCTTATTGTCAGAAATAAAGGGTATTTAACCCTTCCTGGGTTCTGTTCTCTGTCCACTGAACTAAACCGATTATTCGCTTACCAGTTCTCAAGGTTCTACACATTTAGCTGTAAATTTTAGGTTGCAACACTACAATGTTGTTAAATCAATCATGAGGAAATATTTTGATCTTTTACCTTTTTTACAAAGACCTCTTTCCACCCTGTAGACTTTCTTCACACCATCTTTAAAAAATGTCACTTCTGCGGGTTCCCTCGGCTGGCAAGTCAGTCCTTTGTCACATCTTCCGAGGTAATTGTAGTGACCACCGCACTGTTCCCCTTCTAACTTGGCACACACTTTGCAACAGTCGCAGACGTCAAAACTGAACCCTCCTTTGCAGCGTACATAATTATTACAGTGAACTTGTTCGCATGGTGGACAATGCAGCGGTAGTTCGGAAACGAAAGATCTTCGTCTCCGTTCTACGATTCCTTTTTGAACATCAGCTTTTGCACTTTCAAGCAGCGACACTGTGTTGCTGAAGATCAATAAGAGCAATGCCTGCATGTCCTCACCAGTAATTTATTTCATAATGAAAACCTCCTGATCTGAAAGGGTTGTTTCTCATTATTGCTTAATAAGTTACTATCTGTAAACACGCACAAGTATTGTTACGTATTTGAGAATAAGTACAAGATTTCTAGACATGTGTAGGTAACAGGAACAGAACAAAATAAAATAAAATATAGAATAAAATAAAATATAAACTATATAGAAGAATAGAATAGAATGTAGATTAGTGAAAAATATAATATATAACAGAATAAAATAGAATAGGACGGTATAAAATATAGAACAGAATATAATGATTAAAATTCAGGACATACTAGACTATAATAGACTATTATGGATTAAAATAAAGAGCAGATTAGAATAGAATATATGTAGATTGTTTCCAAATTTCTAGGAATATAAGTCCAATTTTTTATTTCGTGTGTTTTCATAAATATTTCAATACAGTTTTTCAGCATTATTCCCAATGAATTGAATACACTTATCTCGAAGAAAAACTGATGTTTTTAAACCGTCCTCAAAGAATTTTTTCGGTGTCTCTTCCCTTTCGCTAATAATGACATGGTTAAACTCGCAAATCAAACAGCATACGTCAACAGTTTATTCAAATTCAAATATGGGAGAATTTTATTCAAATATGGAAGAAGAATACTCTTCGCAGACATTGAACAATTTCTGAAGTTTTCACACTCTCTTTCCACAAAAAGAAAATGCATCTCTTAGCATCTTCCAAGGTTGCAAAAGCAGCGCAATAAAAATGTGCCTGCATAAATCAAACAGTGACTCGGACTAAACAATATTAAACCGGATAGCTGCATAAACACGTCAAGACCTGTCTCTGTCCGATAGCATTGCTTTAAGTTCTAGGAATTTATTTACAACTCATTTCCTACAATTTTGGAAACACCCTTTGTGGAGAAAGATGTAGAACAATATACGACAGAATACTCAATAAAATAAAACAGCATAGAGTAAAATACTGGGAAGAATAAAACAGGATAACATATAAAACATAACAGAATATAAAGCAAAACAGAAGAGAAAGGAACACAACAAAATATAAAACATTGTTATGATTTAAATCGCAATTAACTTTCGGAATTTATCCATTAAAGCATAGTTCTCACCGAACAATTTCTATATATATATATATATATATATATATATATATATAAAAAGGAGTGTGCTCCAACACTAACTATCAGCCATTTTAAGTTAAATGTGCTATTCTTGTTCCCTGTGGCCATTTTTCTTTTCAAAGTGAGTGTTGTCAATAAAAAGGTTTTAAAATATGTCATTCCATTTCGGTCTTTATTTATTTAAATAACTAAAAATGATATAATTCTTATGCTTGGAAAAATTTCACTTAATCGAAATGAGTTAAAAAAATTAGTTTTCTTCTTGAAAGCATCATGTTAGCGTACATATCTTTTTGCAGAAAATTGTTTTGCTGTATTATCCTGTAACGGAAAAATCTAATGGCTCACGACAGAAATTTTTGGCAGTCCCATTTCCGAATTTTAAGTGGCCCATGCAATCGTTAGACTAACAGCCGCAGACTATTTTCTTCCTTTCGGCCTGGTTAAAAGGAAAAGTGTATGCAAATGCTCCACAAACCAAATTTCTACCAGTACGTGCCGGCATTCCATAGCGATAGAATCTTAACTATCAAAGCAATACAGTTTATTGTTTGGTGACATTGTTGCTCGTGTTGGTAGGAATCCTATGACTGCTAGGCGAATATGGAATCAATGGATCCCAAAGAGTCATACTGAAAGCAATGCAGAATCTCAGCGGTTACACACCATTAATGCCCGAGAGGGCAGATATGTTGTCCTCTGGGCTATGCGAGATGATTCTCTGGGCTATGCATGTCAAGATCCTGCCAGGCACGTATCCTGAGTCAAGATACGTGCCTAGCACTATTATAGATACTATTCTTAGAAGCATCCCTGCCTTTTCGGGGATTCTAGCCCAGGCCATTCTGTACGGCAATCAGGATCACTAACCACTACCTGTCTGGGCAGATACTGTGACGCAATCTGCAGCACCAGTCAGCGGAGCGAACATTCTTAGGGCTTCTCTTAGTGCTGCAGCAAAGACGGCACTGAACGCAAGACTAGCCACCCGTCGTCTTTTCAGACGAATCCCGTTTTTGCATACAGCATTATGATAGAAGAATCCATATGTGGAAGCACCGAAGAGAACGAATATTTCAAGCTTCCACTCTACATCTCATACGAGCCCAGGCCCTGGCGTGCTGGTAGGGGGTGTCACTAGATATAGTACATTCCGTACACTTTGTTCGAGCACTCAGTAATGTAGAGAGCTGTCGATAAATTTTGGGCATGTTAAGGCTTGTTGTTATGCCCTAGCTTTGAACAAGATAATACATGACGGGGTGTTTAACGTGCTATTTTAATCTTCCTCTATGCAGAAGGTGTTCGATAGTTACCCTTGGCCAGCTAGATCTCTAAATATATTGCCCACTGAGAACATCTGGTCATTGGTTGCCGAGAGACTGACATAGCATTACTCGCCAGCCACTATGATTAATGAACTCTAGCTTAGAATGGTAACAGTGAAACCACATAGAATGAATTACCCGCATCTGTCATTCAAGCTCAATTCAACTCGACGCCCAGCCGGATTGCAGCCGTTATTGATGCTAGAAATGGAAGCTGTGTGTATTGAATTCGGCACACTGTAAATCCCACACCATCAGCAACACGAATCACGTCTTCTCGTTATAATTCATATGTGTAATAAATCAAATTCTGCTATTTGCTTTTCCTCCCTGGTATAGCAATTTTAATTTCCAGAGGTGCATTTGCATTTTCCGGTGAGAAAGGTAAAAGAGCATAGGTGTGGAAGGATTCAGTTTCTGTTATTAAATGATGAAGAAGCTGTTTGTCTGTATGTATGCATGCACCTCTATGTGAGTTCATCTCGGCGCTGTGAAAGGGAGGAAACGTTTTCCGAAGGGAAGCAGAAAACGGGCCTGCCAGCAAACTGCAGCCGGTTTCCCAGCATGGTGGTACAGCAGATCTTGGTTGTACATTTTACATTCGGGGCACTAAAAGGTTCCTCGGTAACGAGGACAACCCTTATTAGAACCCATATTAAGAACGAAAGCTTCGCCAGAGCAGGGGTGGCTCCCTCAGACCACAGAGGGAAACAGGAGCTATCGATTCAGCGTTAATATGATTTTGCACTTACGGGAAATATCCACCAAGACGGTATCGGAGGTTGAAAGTCATGTTTATCAAGAGTGAAAAACTGTGTTACAGCACTGTTTCCCACCATATCTACGAAAATCAAATCAGTGATCCGCGCAAGTAAATTAATTAATATATTATTTATTTTAGCCTACAAAATCTACGAAAACCCGAGTTTAAATTATCACGAAATATTTTGTCAAGGAAAGAATCCTATAAGTTCTTTAAATTTGTACCGTATTCCTCAATTTTGTGTACATCTGACGTTGTGGCGACTAGACCTGGCGATGAGAATCTGTCTCTCAGCGATACACCAGCTCAGAAGTCAAACTGGTTTATATTACGTCTATGAAAGCTTTCCTTCTTATATAGATATTGTTGCGTGCGTATTTGGTATTTAAAAATATTCTTTAGTGAGGTTGCTGCCTCGGTTTCGCGATGAACTATAATGGTGTTATCTTGTCATGGCAGACCAGATTGTGACCGGAAGTAGGACGATTTAATACTTTGGGACCTGATATTCTTCAGTATTATGTATATGTGGTTTCTGGCATTAAGGAAACACGACGACACTTGGAGACAAAATTTTGAATACACAGAAGTTCTCCAGTTACGTGCCCCTTGAAGCTAAATTTTAAATTCCAGTTTGTTTATTTATTTAATAATTTGTTCCAACTTAATCAAATTTTGATTAACATTTTGATTAACTTACCATTTTATATTTTTAATTAAACTGTTCGATTTAAACAATCAAATTTTATTGATTAACAAACTTAGCAGTTTATATTTTGATTTAAACTGTTCGATCTAAACAATCAAATTTTGATTAACAAACTTAGCAGTTTAGCAACGTGTTACCATTCAGCAAAACTTTAGATTTTAAAAAAAAAAATTAATCAACAAACTCCACAATTTAAAAGAAATGTGTTGCCACTTCCTGAAGTAAAATAGTACTTTGAACTTCCAAGCGCTAATATGCTGCCATTCGGCAAAGCGTGGGATATTTAATTTTTCTTTCAAATTTAATCTCTTGTTAATTTACAGAATAAACGATTTCAAAGCAGTAAATGATATTCTTCATTTTTTATTATTATTCATTATTAGCTGGACATTATTATATTAATTATTAGAACATATTTCGCTAGCTGCATTTATTATTTATACATTTTTTCTTTTCTTTAATAACTAGTTTAGGCAGTTGGCTGTGCGAGCGGATAGTTTAAGAAATAATGTTAATTAAAATAATCTTTACAATTTAAATTATCTACAGTGATATTTCTATTTTTAGTCGAATATAATTTTTTCAATAATAAAGTAGGGCAGTCAACTCTAAATTGACTGTGGGTGGGTCGGATTAACCTGGTTGCATATTAACCCGGCCTTGTCTAAAAAAAGGTTACATTTGTTTATTGCGGAACGATGAAGATATTACTTTCCCAGACCAAAAGAATTTGATAAAAAATTAAATTTTCTGATTTTCTTTTTAAATTTAAAATTAATTATCAAGAAATAAAACTTTAATTGGCTCCCATTAACCGGAGTAATAGAGCGGTGAAAATGCACGGTGAATCCAAAATCGAGGTTAAAAAGAGAACGGTTATAATAAAAAAGAAACAGGAATAACTTACCTTGTAATTAACAGAAAAATACAATTAATAGGTTACCTCTATTTTCAAGCCATTTAATTTGGATATTAAGCTCACTTTACTACGGAAATTAAATCATCGTTCAAAACAAAACAAGACAAAACAAAAAATTGTTTTTGTTTCTACAGAAGTCTACGTGAAACAGAAGAATTAATGGCTGTACACTTGATTTATTTTTACGAGTTACCGATTTACGTGTAACCAATGAGTTAACAACGTATTGCTTCCATCTAAATTATTTTCTGTAATGGATAAGAACAACTCGCGTATTGCATACAACTAAATTACATACTGCTGTGGACAAAAACAACTCACAAATTGCGCCAAACTAAATTACGTACTGCTGTGGATAAACACAACTGATATATTGCGTCCAATTAAATTACGCACTGCTGTGGACAAAAACAACTCACGTATTGTGTCCAATTAAATCATGTACTGTTGTGGATAAAAGCAACCTCAGACACTGATATCACTGCTGTTATCGCACTCACTTTTCTTTTCATTTTACCACTTTTCATAAATATTTTTGCTTTGTGCTTAGACAGGTGAAACATTTACTATTACATATTTTAAAAGTAATATACACGACTCCAGAGGCAATGGAACTCCAAACATTTTACATCACATTTTTCTCTGCGCTTCTCCACTTACAAACATGTGCTTTTGTGTGCATTTGCTGCAGTTATTTGTGATGCATAATATCTGCCGAAGACTTGATTTCTTTAGCAATTCATTGCACAAAACGGTTAAGGATGCTTTGCATGGTATGGTCAAGGATATTCATGGCAATGCGTTTTGTTTCAGGTTCACTGATTCATTTCTTCAACTCTTCCACACTTTACACTTTGGCTGTACTCACCTTATCCTTCAAGTATCCCCAAAGGAAAAAGTTCAGAGTACATAGAGCCGAGGATCCGGCAGACCTTTATATATCATCAAAACGCGGAAGTCTGTTTGCAGAAGTCTTCCGCTTTCGTCCGTCCACGCCAGCTTTCCATTCCCAAAAATTGACAAAAAGTATTCATTTAGCAGAATGGTGTTTCACAAATAACTGTAGCAAATACACGCAAAGACTACGTAACATGCATGTAAACGGGCAAGTGTATCGATAAAGATGATGCAAAGTATTTAGAGTTTTATTGTCTCTAGGGCTGAAAATATTATTTTTAAAAGAGGTATTCAAAAATACTCCACCAGTTAGTATGTGCTAAAAGAAATTAAACTTCTATTCATTTAGACATGGACCGGTTAATCAAGAGTTCGTTTAATAACCCCTCGGGTAATTCAGAACTGTATAAAAATTTGCTCAAGAAGATCTAAATGTTAACTTTAAAATACCATCAAAATTCTTATTGTCTTAATACTTGAAAGCATTTTACCTCTTATTTTGCAAGGAATTCTTTAAACGGAATATTTGGTAAAGAAAAGTATGAAACTTACTCAAAAACGAAAAATTCCCTCTTGAAGTATGTTCTACATCCGTTGGAGTAACTCGGAGCATGTCGCTCGCTTTAGTTTTTGTAGAAAATAAATGTCTAAAACCGTGTAAAGTTGTAAATGAATGCAGCTGCTTACTACGAAAAGAAAGCTGTCTTTTTAAGATTTTATGTGTGGCAGGGGAATGTCGTCTGAAACGGAGCCAATTGAGGTATTTATGAGTTGCACTCGTG